AGGGAAAGGGGAGGTGGAAGATACACAGAAAAAGAGCTCCAGAAATCAGCACGGGTCCTCTTAAGCATTTTATACTTACAGCAATCTTAATTAGGTCCCCAAGAGCCACATGTGATTAGCAATGGCATACTGCACTATCATACAGACTGTGCAGCCCTAGAGCAACAACTGTAAGAAACAAAACGAGGTTCAGCGACAATAAAAGAGGTGTGTTGGGACTTCCCTGGTGGCACAGTGGTTAAGAATCCGCCTGCCAATGCAGGGGATACGGGTTCGAGCCCTGGTCTGGGAAGATCCCACATGCCGCAGAGCAACTAAGCCCGTGCACCACAACTACTGTGCCTGCGCTCTAGAGCCCGCAAACCACAACTACTGAGTCTGCGTGCCACAACTACTGAAGCCCGCGTGCCTAGAGCCTGTGCTCCGCAACAAGAGAAGCACCGCAATGAGAAGACTGTGCACTGCAACGAAGAGTAGCCCCTGCTCACCACACCTAGAGAAAGCCCACGCGCAGCAACTAAGACCCAACGCAGCCAAAAAGAAAGAAAAAAAAAATGTGTTGATAGCAATGTAAAAATAATAATTATGACGAAGATAAAAGCTAACACTACTGTGCATGTCTATGTGCCAGGTACTGTTTCAGTTGCTTCATATATGTTAATCACTGAATTAGTATATACAATACAACCTTAAGAAGTAGGTATTGTCTTCATTCTTATAGGCTATATATTTTACCCTGGCACAGCCAGAATTCTAGTCTAAACAGTCTAGCTCCAGAATCTTGTGGTCTTAACTATTATGCTATATTGCCCTCCAGTAGCAGATGGTCGTCATTTTTTGTTGTTTATTATACTACTTTTAAATATCTTTTCTTGACAAAATAAAGTTGGCAAACCCATGTTGATTTCCTCAATTAAAAAATTTATTGGTTGGTGAAATGTGAAAGCCTGGAAATCACCAGTTTGTAGGGCCAGTAGAGAACAAGAAAATGAAAATCTGAGAGAAGGTAACTGATGGAGCAAGGTCTTGGAGGATGAGTTCTAGAACATAGGGAGGAGTTAAATTTAAAGGACAGGGCAGACACTAAGTACAGGAGGAATTATAGTCACATTTAGAGATGATGGGGAAGAAAGATTCTCTAGTAACTAAAAATCAAGGTCATCTGAGCCCAAAATAAGCCTGATAGTATCAATTAGAAGACTTAAAAATAATATAGAATAGTGAAGACTTAGAGCAACTTTTGTGAGGGATGGGAAAAAATAAAGCCAGGATTGGACAGACTAGAAAAATAGAGATGGTTTCAACACTAAATATCTTGAAGAAGTCAAGAAATAAGGTTAGTGGGAGGAAAGGAGTGGACGATGTATAAACAAATAAATGAGGTTGTGGTTAGAAGGTAGGATTTCTGAATTTAAGATCTCAAAGCCAGAGGAAATGCTCATTCATTGATAACGATGAAGACGATACTGCTACTAATAACCATTCATTAAGCACACTAAAAAAATTAATTACATATAGTCATAACAACCATTACTATCAGCATATTACAGAGAAGAAACTGAGGCCCTAATGAATTTTCAATTAACACTCAAGTTTTTTATAGAACTTAACAAGATGATGCTGAAATTCATATATAATAGGAAAGGGCCTGTCATTCCCTAGAAAATTTTGAAGAAAATAGGTGAATATTAACTATTGTTAATACCTTACTGGCTATTAACACTTATTATAAAACAGCAGCAATTATGATAGTGTGGTTATGTTACAGAGGTCATACAAATTGACCAATGGAAAATAATAAACAATCCATGGATGTGTGGAAAACTGATTTGAAATCAATGACATTACAAACAATAAAAGAAAAGTTATACTATTCAATAAATGCGGCTAGAACAATTAGTTGTTCATATATAAAATAAATAAAATAAATTAGATCTCTACCTCATGCACAAAAATAGGTTGATTAAAAAAAGAATAAAACATGAAGAATAAAAGTTTAAAACTTTTAGCAAAAAGATAAATGAATATCTTTGTGATTCTGAGGTAGGAGAGGATTTCTTAAACCAGACACCCAAAGCACAAAATATAAAGGAAAAGATGAATAAATGTGACTACATTCAAACTAAATTTCAGTGTAAGAAAAGACAACACAAAGGCCAAAGAAAAGGCACAGACTGGAAGATGAGAGGCAACAATATAACCAACAATGTATTATTAACCAGAAAACATAAATCAATGAAAAAGATGAGTATAGCAATAGAAAAATGGGCAAAGATGCCCAGAGATGTCCAGGAGGCGTTTGGGATTAGTACTAGAGACATCTGGGCTGGAAACAGAGATTTGGGATACATCAACTTATTGATCATATTTGAATTCACGGACTAGATGAGTTTATAAAAGGAAAGCATGTAAAGAAAGTAGAGATCTGGGCCTAGCTAGGACATAAAGCAGGCAGAGGGTTACCAATCCTCACTCAAGTTCTTAACACTAAATAACTTCTTTAAACTTATCCATATATTATTTTGTCTTGCCTTTTCTGACCATAGCTTTGCCTTTTAAAGATGGGGTCTAAACACAAGAAATAAACACTTATAATAAAACCAGATTTTGTTGGACTACATCTGAAGGTGGTCAGATAAGCCTGCCACTTCTGTTTAGAACAATATTACCTTCAGCTCCTCTGTTTCATGTATTGCCAAGGCAGGATTGTGGAAATGAAATGCAAATTAAAACAAAACAGGATTTAAAATTTAAAGTAAAGGGAATGTAAGAAAATATTCCCAAAGTGCACAATAAGGATTTTTTTAGTTGGTGGGGTTAGGAACTATCTCCTTTTATACATTAGCATAGCTCATTTAATGCATCAGAAATAGCTAATGTATGCCTACACATCTTTAAATTTTAAGACAAAAAAGATGAAAGACAAGAAGAAAAATGTTTCATCCATACAGACTTCTGCTCATCCCATTTCTTCTACTTAGAAATAGCAAACCAGGTATCCACTGCTCAAGGGAAGCCAGTCACAAAAAAACAACTACATGCAGTATAATTCCTTTTATGTGATAGTCAAGAACATGTAAAGCAAGACAGAATAGTGGTGGTGGTGGTGGTGGTAAGATGTGGTTAGCAGGGACATAAAGAAGCTCTATGGGGTGTCTGGTATTCTGTATATGTGGATCTGGGTGTTGGTCACATCAATTTATACATTTGGCACTTGAGCATTTTACTATGTTCTGTCTTTTAACTGAGGTATGTATTTTTTATTCCTATAAAGAAAAACTTCTTAGAGACCTTAAGAATCTCACTCAACACAGCTTGTTTCGCTCTTGTCAAGACAACAAAGCCTCTAATTAAGAAACAAATATTTAGTGGCCTTCTCTCAACTTGTCTTCCCCTAATGGCCCCACTCCCTCCACCCACCCCTACCTCAGCCACCTCCCCAACAGAACAGGCTCAAGGACAAGGACGTCTGAGATGAACATTTTCAGCATCAACAAGCTCCAGGGTCCTTCTTCCACCAAACCAAAAGTAAGCTCCTAAGAGGAAATTGAAAGGAAACTCGAATGTAAACACCAACCTTTAATCATCACTTTGTGAATCATCTTCTACACTATCCTAGCTCATGAACATGAACCTGTATCTAAACATCTTTGTAGGAATTTCCATTGTAATTTTACTTTGACAATTTTGATCAGGGTAAAATGATAGAAAATAGGCTTATCTAGATTTCAATTAACCCTCTTGCTGATGGTTATTTTTTTTTAGTGAAGGACAATAACAAATATTAAATGTAAACAGTCCAGAGAATGCTTTTAAAAAAAACCTTCCCTTTCTCACTTTAGCATGAAACACCAAGGAAAAAATAAAAAATAAAACCTATATATTACAGCTGGTTGTTACACTGAGTCATACAAAATGCAATATTGGACTTTGCGCAGTTCATTGTTTTACGTTGCTGGTCAAGCGGGGTTCAGAACGGTAATGAGACAGGGTATTGAGATACAAATTACTTCGGATATTTTACTTCAGCAAAAACATGAAACAAAGTCATGTCAAGTAAGATGCTTCCAGGGACTAAAGCTATCGCCTTTCCTCTTTTTTTTTTTTAATCTATCTCCTTTCGCTCTTTAATTTTTTTTTTCTAAACAACAATTAAAGTTCTTCACGGATACCTTAGTTTGTAGCAGAAGCCCTGCAACATGAACTAAAGGAAACCCTAAGCCTTTATGTTCTTTTACCACTTTCCCAGTTTTAGGTAACCGAAAAAAGAACAGATCTGCAGAAGGAACTGAAGGTTATCTAAGGAAGGACTCTAACGGGTCTCGTCTGAATGGCAAATACCTCAAGGTCTCGGAACAGGATTATACCAAATGGCCAAGGGGCAGAGCTGTAAGCAGTTCCTAGTTTAGCGAAAGTATTTTAACTTCTTTAAAACAACAACAACAACAACAACAACAACAAAAACAGACTTGTAGAGGGAAGAGAGCGAAATTAGGCACCGCGGCGGGTAGAGAAGAAGGGTGCTCTGAAGAGAATTTGCAGTTCTGGGGTCGCGGCCGAGACGAGACGGGCCGAGGTAAAAAGAGACGCCAGGAGAAACTCACTTTTGAAAGGCACTTCCCGGTTACAAAGCACTCTCTTGTGCTTTACCACCTCCGACACAGTATCCTTTCGGCGGGCCTCCAGCGTCTACAGACGTAAAAGACCCACCGCAAAGACCCTCTTCAGCATCGAGATTCCGAGGCGGGCCTCGCTACCCGTCAGTCCCCGCGGCCGCCCGCGCCCCCTCGGCATCCCCCGGGCGCGCGCACGTCACCCGCCCGCTGCCAATCGGCGCCGGGCCAGTCGCCTCTCCTCGCGTGCCCACAACCCCGCCCCGCCCGGTCCAGGCTGCAAGCGCCCGCCGGCCGCTTCCGCTCTCGGCGCAGGCGCGGCAGCTCGGCCGGAGAGCGGCGCGGGTCGGGCGAGGAGCGGACGCCGCTGGTCAGGATGGTGCTGGAGAGCGTGGCCCGCATCGTGAAGGTGCAGCTCCCCGCGTATCTTAAGCGGCTCCCAGTCCCCGAGAGCATTACCGGGTTCGCCCAGCTCACAGGTAACCTTTGCCTTCAGCCAGTCCCCATCCTTGCAAGCTTCCCAAGGCGGAGGGTGAGGGCGGGCATCTGAAAACCCTCGGGCCGAGGGGCGGGGCGGAGCTTGGCGGATGGCTCGTGACCCGGTGAGTCTGGGCTCCGAGGGAGGTGGGCGCGCGCCGGCGCTGCTGTACGGGAGCGTGTGTGAGGCCACCTCTCGGTACTTGGCGGCCCGGGGTGCTTATCCTCGTGGCTGTCGCCAGTGTCTTTACGTGGCGAGAGGCCAGGTTTTTGCAGAGAAGGTGCTGAGTTGGAAAGGGGCCCATCTCTTTCTTCTCCATCGCTCCCTGCAGTGTGCTTATTTAAAGCAGGGTAAGTCATCGTTATCGAAGGCACTGGGTATCAGGCCGTCCCAGCTCTTGGCTGGGTTTTACCCACATCGTGTGGGTGTGACTGTGTGGGAGAGAAACACAGACATGCACATAATATGTATTGCTGTTTTATTTAGCAACAAAATTAGAAAATAAACTCCAATCCTATAGGAGAGAGTTGACCTATCATGGGGTCATTTGAGGTCACCTCCATTACTACGGGCCTGGAGGCAATTTAGTTTCCTGGAGTTGAAAGAAAGATAACTTTGCTAGTATGATGGACCAAAAATTAGAAAATGAAATTTAATCAATATATGTAACATTCTGTACTTAAGTTCCCTCCTTTACAAAAAAGAACCCAGAACTCGGGATTTCACATCTAAAGGATGAAAATTTCCAGAATGCAGTCAACACTTGGAAGATTTTGTTGGGTTCTGAGCTTTACAGTGTAAGTTGGGATATTGGTGAACCAGACACAGGGACTGATTAGGATGATGAGGGGGGGGAAAACCACATTAATAAAGCAAACATTGAATTCATATGTCCTGACTACCAGGGTATGTAAGCATGAATTAAGATAATTCTGAGATAAATAGGGCTGCTTAGCTTGGAGCAGTCTGGAGATCCATGGAAGCTGACTTAAAATACAGTATTTGGAAGGCTGACCAGCGGAAGAAAAATAAGATTTATTCTGTGTAGACCAAAAGACAGAACTAGCGCCAAATTAGTGATAGTTATTCGAACGTGGATTTTAGCTCCATGTTCAAGAAATTTTTTTCTTTAATTAGAGAACACTTTACCAAACAAATGGTGCTTTGAGAGCTATCCCCTCTCAGAGATTTAAAAAAAAAAAAGCAGTGTCTGGAGGTGGATAGACTAAAATGTGATAAACTAGATGACTGTTCTAAGTCTAGAGATTCTTTGCATAATGGTCATAGACATTTGCTCTTGACAAATGGATTGTGAGATTTTAACATTTTTAGATGTTAAGGGGTTTGATAGAAAGCATGTAATTGAATAGAAAGAGTGGTAACTGAGTAATAAACATTAAAAAGAAATATCTAAACATAGGAACAACATAAAAGAAACAAAATGAAAAAACTTTCAAATCACGTGTTTGTAAACATCAAAGTCTTCTGTTGATTTTACTAGTTTATTCTGATAGATTGCAGCAATTATGTAAAATTTTGTCTTTTTCTCCCCTTATCATTTCTTTTACTGAGGTACTTTACATATTTTAATGTATTCCTTATCTTGTTCTAACAGCTACGTATGTATATAATCTTATTATAGATTAGCATCACAGTAGGCCTAACTATTTCCCTGCAGCTGGAAATTTGGAATGTTTTTATATATATATTTTATTCATAATGTTCAGTGGTAAGTAGCTCTGTACCAATTGTTATTTTTTCCTTCTTTGGATTATACCCTTGAATATATTCACTAAATGGTAATACCAGGTCAAAAGGATATGATCATTGTTCCCAGTCGCCAACTTACCTTAAAAATTTGCATAAATTAACAGCTGAGTTTTTAATAGTCAAGAAAGAAAAAAGTCCCCTTGCTCCCACCTCAGTCCAGTTAAACCTGAATTATGTGTGTTGATTCTGATTGTAGCAGGTTTTATATTAGTTTCAATTTTCTGTAAACAGAGTATAGTTGAAGCAGATTGGAAAGTACGATATTTGATTTAGTGATTAGAAGATTTTCAAACCTTTTTTTCTTTCTTCTCAGGGATTCCTACTGTCTTTCTTCTCAGGGATTCCTAATTCCTTAAAGGCATTAAGGAAACTCAACCTAAACCTTTTCCCTCTTGAATCAATAATTTATAGTAGTTTCTTCTTTAAAGCTATTAAATAGTTAATGTGAAGACCAATTCTCAGACATAATGACAACTCTGATAAATATCTTTATAGTGCATATTTAACTTAAGTCCCATTACAATGGGACAATTTAGTTCTCATTGTAATGTCCATTTATTTAGGAAACGTTAACATATTTGTAATAACTACTTTATGACAAAATGAGATAGTCTGTTTGGCACTGGATAATGAGAATATAACAGTTGCAGAATCTGTTTTGGAGCACTATGAAAGAGAAACTGCAATGACCAATTTCCTCTCTGGGTCTCGCCTCCTGATTAGATGGTAATAGCTAATGACATTTGGCTCTCTTGAATGAACTTCTTGTAGAATCCATCTTAGACTTTTTTTTTTTTGCTGAAATTAAAACCTGGAAGATAACTTTTCAATATAATTGTTTAAAATGTCTACCGGACCAAAAATATTTTCATTTTCTATCTATGACAATTAGAGCAAAAATAAGTTTCAGTTCTCATTATTGTTGCCTGTTTTTCCTTCCCTGTTTAGACCCAGTGGTTTTTTAAAAGCAATGGACTCTCTCATGATGACTCTGCACTCTGGTTCTTAGTAAACACTTGAAGATCCTTAATTACTATACAGTATTTATAGATAGCCCTTATCTATCAGAAATGCCTTATCTATCTTTGTTTAGGTTACATTGTTAAGAGTGAGGCTTTTAAGGTAAATCAGTATAATTCTGCCCTTTGAAAGTATAATGTATTCAAATACATTGACTTTTAAAAAAGGTTTCCCCGTCATATAAACTTTTAAAATAGAATAACAAAACTTGCCATTCAAAAGTCAGAAAAGTTTATATCTAGATTTAAAAGCTAGCTATGACACTTTGAATATAGTAGTTCTACCCCACTTAAACTAGGTAGCTGCTTTGAAACGTAATAGTTTTGCTCCTAAAGACAAAGCAATGAATCCTAAGACTATAATAATATTTTTCCCAGAGTAACACAAACATGTCAGAGCTGACCCTTCAAGGGCATTAGCTCTAGAAAGGGCCAATTTTGAGCAAAGAATTTAAGAAATGGAACAGAGTTGAAAGCATGTTCATAGCAGCCTTATTTATGATAATCCCAAACTGTAAGCAAACTAAGTACCTAGCAACGGGGGGGGAATAAACGAATTATGGTATATTCATAGAGTGGAATACTGATTAGTAATAAAAAGGAACAAATTAATAATCCACTGGATGAATCTCAAAAATTTTATATTGAGTGAAAAAACCTTCGGGTGTAGGAATCAGTGGTGGGGAGATAGACTAGAAGGGGACAGGAGAATACTTTCTGGGGTGATGGAAATATTTTACATATTTTTACACATTTTCAGTGGAGGCTACAGGGTGTATTTAATTGTCACAGCTCAGAGCTAAATACCTAAGATCTGTTTATTGTATGTAAATTTACCTCAGTTGTTTCTTTTAAAGAAATAGAACAAAAGGTGAGTTTTCTTAATAAGAAAGGGTAATAAATCATTAAGTTCAAACTAAAGAGTTGCATTTATTAACATGTAAAAAAGGTTATTTCTGAAAGATTGAAGAATTTTATTTTAGAAAACTTTTATTTTTGAGAATTTGGGAAAATATTTACATAGTTACTGTAAGTTGTAAAAGTTTTTTCCCCTTTTCCTAGGTAGACCGACTGTATTTAAAAGTCAGTGTAATTAAAGATTATACTAGCCTTTGTGGAGAACAATTTTGATGTTATTAAAACATTTTCTTCCATGTAACCACTCTGCAATTTAGAATTCCTCAAGTCATCAAGTATTTATTGAGCACTTACTATGGGCCAGGCAATGCTCTAAATACTGGGACACTGTTGTATTTATAGTCGTGAGTGGAAAAAAGATTTTAAAATTGATTATTAATTTCATTTTATTGGCCCTTTGGTCCTGAATGGTCTATATTAGGTTTTAAGTGGTAATAGTAATGCCATCCATTAAAAATATTTTACTTTCATCTTTCTGTAGTTCAGAAATGAAGTCATTTCTATGTTTTACCCATAATGATACATAATAAAATATGTTATGAAATTATCAGCAGTCAAGTTGCCAGTATTATTTTTATAGTATCATTATATGAAACCTTTTTAAAAAGGAAAAAGAATACAGCAAAATAGAAATACAACAAAATGTTACCAACCCTTGACTGGTGGGATTAAAAGTTATTTTGTTTTTTACAACTTTTCTAAATTTTCAAATTTTGTAAAATAAATGCTATTTCTGATAATCCTAAAACAATTTAAAAGTGTACTATACAAAATATACATTATACCTAACAGTTAGTAGGTAATAGATTTCCCTTCACAGTATCTAATATATCTGCAGTAGCTCAATATATATCAAACAGGTTCATAGGAAATAGCCAATCTTAAAGGTTGTTTTTTTAATTTCTTGTTTGATTTTTCTGTATTTAATATTTATGCACCAAAAATCAGCCTTAATAAATGTACTTAAAATGATTTAGTTGAGCTTTACAGACTGTATTATTTTCCTTTATTATCTTTTCTGTAGTTAAATTGAAGTTTGTCATCTTTAAAAAGTAGATTTTATTAAACAAGGCTGTTGTATAAATTGTTACTTTGTTGTAGGAAATAATAGTACCTTTCATCACTGTATTACTATAGAGTAGTGTTTTACCAAGGAATTAAGTGTCGAAGGACAATGTTTTCTGAAGTAGATTTTAAAACGGTATTAATACCATTTATTCCCTGAGATTTGTGGGTTAAGCTAGGAAATGCTAAACTTAAGAATCTAAGTTAATGTTTTCATCTTTACATTCTCATTCATTTACTTTTTTACTTTGAGTCACTTAACCTCTCGTGACTTTTTAATTTTGTAGTATACATAATAATACTTAATGTTATTCTACATTGAAAAAACATGTATTGAATAAGTACTGTTTCAAGATACTATACTGGATGTTGGGGCCAATAACAACCTAAGATATTTATTGCCTGATCTAGAAAATAAGTATAAATAAATAATTACAGTACAATATGGTGAGTGAGAAGGGGACTGACATTTATGCTCTACATTCATTAAGTCACTCATTTAACATTTATGAGGTATCTGCTTTGCGCCAGGAAGAGTAGTACACAGTTCCTTTTCCTACAGGCTCGTGGAAGAATCAACTTTATAAACAGATAACAATAGTATGATAAAAGAAACTTCGGAAAAGGGGCTTGGAAGCAAAGGAGGGAGTGATTAATTTTGCTTTGGGAAATGAAAGATTTCTGGAGGAGGCATATTTGACCCCTGTTTTAAATGGGCTACATGAGTCAGGCCACAGGTAGAAAGGCATGGCAGACAGAAGGAATTCCTTATGCAAAGGACACAGGAAGCCTGTCACTAGGTAATAAGTAGCTTTGGCTGGCTTCAAGTACTTGAGGGATGGGATATTTGTGGGAATTGAAACTGTCAAAGTAGCCTTGCCATGTTATAGAGATGGTACTTTTTAGAAACAGTGGTCTGTAGCGGCACTATCCAGAAGCCTTTCTGTAATGATAGAAATGTTCTCTGTGCTGTCAAATATGGTAACCACTAGCCACATGTAGCCCTTGAGCTGCTGAAATGTGACTGGTATGTCTTAGAAACTGACTTCTGAATTTTACTTAATTTATTTAAATAGCCACATGTGTATTAATTGTGTTTTTTATTTTCTATATTTTATGATACTTGGACATCTTGGGGGCCTTGCTGGCCAGGGAGAACTTGCCCCCTCCAAGGACTGGCTAATGCCAGGAGATAGTAAACTACTTGCCTGTGAGCATACTTTTCATATGCAAACCAACCAATCCAAAGCCTACACTCCAACCACTTCCTTTGTCTAACTCTCACTTACCAAGACAGTATTTCCCCTGCCCTAAATCACCCAGGGCCAGATATGAGACAACTAGGGACCACCCCTATAGCCCAGAGCCCACTGAAATTATTCAAGCCAGCCAATCCTAAATGTTTACTCTGCCCTACCTTGCCTTTTCTGTAGAAACCACAATAAAAGCTTGTGCTCTTTTACCTTCTGCCTGTGACCAAGCCTCGTACTTCCGCATGTGGTCCTGGGTGGCACGGTGTGCCCCCTCCTCTTGGGAATTGTAAGTAAACTTTTCTTTCAAGGCAGTTGTCTCCATGTCTGTCATCTTACCATACCTGAGTAAAACAGAATCCTGGGTACAAATCAAAACAGCGTGGCTAGTGGTTACTGTACTGGACAGCGGAGATCTGTAGGTAGACCCCTCCCCCACAAGAAACAGTTCTTTGTCATTTCCAGAATTTTAATTCATTCAAAAGATTTATGTGGGGCTTCCCTGGTGGCGCAGTGGTTGAGAGTCCACCTGCCGATGCAGGGGACGCTGGTTCGTGCCCCAGTCCGGGAGGATCCCACATGCCGCAGAGCAGCTGCGCCTGCGCGTCCGGAGCCTGTACTCCGCGACGAGAGAGGCCACAGCGGTGGGAGGCCCGCGTACCGCAAAAATAAAAAGATTTATGTGGAGTCTTCCCACTTTTGTTATGAGAATAGAACAGCCAGCTTGACTGGCAGGATCTTATCGTTACAGAATTTCATTCTGGTGACTAAAAGATTATATCCCCAAAGATTTCTACTATATAACATTGTCAGGTTTAGTTAGCAAAATATTTTTTCAGGGAAGTTGCTCCAATCTCCATAATCTTAATAAAAACTACCATTTATTGTGTATCCTCTCTGTGCCAGGCACTCTTACAGGTGCTATTCATACCTAAGTAGGTTGATTCGTCCACAACTCATAACAAACCTTTGGCGTGGTGTTGTATCAAAAATAATTTCATTTTGGAAGAGTTAATATTAAGCCAGTCTTTGAGTAGTTTTACTGAGAGAAGAACCGATAAAAGTTTAGATCTGGGGGCTTCCCTGGTGTCGCAGTGGTTGAAAGTCCGCCTGCCGTTGCAGGGGACATGGGTTCGTGCCCCGGTCCGGGAAGATCCCACATGCCGTGGAGCAGCTGGGCCCATGAGCCATGACCACTGAGCCTGCGCATCCGGAGCCTGTGCTCCGCAACGGGAGAGGCTACAACAGTGAGAGGCCCGCGTACCGCAAAAAAAAAAAAAAAGTTTAGATCTGTTGAATTTCATTCATAGTGATTGAGAACAGGCTTTGCACTTACTGTCCTGGACTAAACCTGCTTAAGCTACAGTTTACGCACATGAAAAATGAGAATAATAATGGTGCCTACCAAATACAGTTGTTTAAACTAACACAGTGTTAAATGAGGTAATACAGTTGCATTCTTAGCATAGTCTGTTCATTTATCATTAATATTTATTAGTATGCCTTAGCACATGACCTTCAATTTTTCTTTTTCTCCACTAAGCTATTTCTACATAGTGTTTATTAGCAAGATATCAGGTTAGCATTCAGTGAAAGATGACAAGTGATAACTCTTTAAAGGCAAAGGATTCCCTGCAGAGCCCAGCAGAGGCAGGGTACTAGCCAACATTTGATAAATGCATGCGGAGACAGTTATCTTGGCTTCCTGGTGTGTTTGTCTCCACAGGCATAGGAGAAACTTATATCATTTATAAGTGATATAAATTTCATTTATATCACTTATATTCCCTATCCCCCTAAGACAGTGCTGAGTACTACAGAAGGCTTTCATGAACACTTAAAGAATAAGATGTATCTAATGAGAATATTCAGGATGTGAAAATTTCGACTAGCTCTTTAAAATAGCTTTTACACAACATTTAGGTATTTCTTTAGGAATCACTATGCCTTACCAAAAAATGTAAATTAAAGCATTGAAGACATGTTCTTTCTTAAATTATAAATCAGTGGTAAGCTATTACAGGATATTCTGTTGTATGATTTTAGACATGGTGGAAATGTTTTCTAAACCTATAAAATATATCACATCGAATTTTGTTTATAATTATGGTGATCATAATTCCTGAAGTAAAACTAAACACAAATATACTTAGTGAGGATAATGAGATAGGATATTTGGTAGAGGACCCATTTCTGAAAATTTTGTTTTCCAATTTCAAAAGTCTCAAGTCAACCCACAAATAAAATAAGGTGGTCCTAGGTATAGGTGCCTTATTCACAGTTTTACAGATAAGTTCGATAGTTAAGAAATTAAAGTGAGAAGTGAAGAATAGATAAAGAATAAGTTCAAAGATGAGACATGCTATTTGAGTTCTTTTTTTTTAATTTTTATCTTTTGTTTTTACAGTAGGTCCTTGTTGGTCATCTATTTTAAACATGGCAGTGTACATGTCAATCCCAATCTCCCAGTCCATCTCTATTTGAGTTCTATTACAGGAGCACGCAGACTTTAACAAATCTGTCCGTGTTTAGTTTCAGAATGGCTTCGGTTATTGCCTTTCCTTGGTGTACTTGCACTACTTGGCTACCTTGCGGTTCGTCCATTTCTCCCGAAGAAAAAGCAACAGAAGGATAGCTTGATTAATCTTAAAATACAAAAGGAAAATCCCAAAGTGGTGAATGAGATAAACATTGAAGATTTGTGTCTTACTAAAGCAGCTTATTGTAGGTGTTGGCGTTCTAAGACGGTAAGATGTCCATTTACATGTCCACTAAAATTTTGTGCAGTTAAAATGGTTTTACTTCTTAAATCCCCAGTTTTGTGGTCCTGTGAGATTAGAGATTTCTTCATAGTATTCAGCACTGAAAGTCTACACTAAATTAAAGGTCGCCTCTTATGATTGCTATATTTCCTACATTAGAAAAGTTAGACCAGCACAGAAACTTGGTTGGGCAAATTACTTAATCTTTATGACTCTGATCATCAGGTGTTTTAAAATCTGATAATATATCAATATCACAGAAATTTTTGAGGATTTAGTGAGATGATGTATGTACAGTGCCTTGTATGTAGTATGAGTTAGTAAATGGTAAGTATAATTACGGATGATATTTAATGTGGAAATTAAAAGTGAGTTTGATGGATGCAACTAGAGATTTATCTTACTAAGTGAAATAAGTCAGAAATAGAAATACAGATATTGATACTGTATGATATTACTTATATGTAGAATCTAAAGTATGACACAAATGAACCTATCAATGAAGCAGAAACAGAATCACAGACATAGAGAACAGACTGGTGCTTGCCAGTGAGGAAGGGGTTGGGGGAGGGGTGGAGTGGGAGGTTGGGGTCAGCAGATGCAAACTAGTATATATAGGATGGCTAAACAACAAGGTCCTACTGTACAGCACAGAGAACTATTCAACATCCTATGGTAAACCATAATGGAAAAGAATATTTTTTAAGAAAAGAATGTATGTATGTGTATAACTGAGTCACTTTGCTGTACAGTAGTAATTAACACAACAGTGTAAATCAACTATACTTCAATTAAAAATAATAAACCAAAAAAAGGAGGAGTTCGGAGTGATAAATTATAAGTAGTTGAGATCTAGTTTGATCATAGGCTATTTGAGGCTTTAAATACAATAATGCTCATCATCGCATCCTTTGTAATAACAAAATCTTAGAAATAGTCTAGATATCTGATAATAGAGAAATGGTTAAAGTATGGTATAATACAAGTGATGGGATATTAAGAAGCTATGAAAAACCATGTTTTTTAAAGAATATTTAATAACAGGAGCATGATGTAATATAAGCTAGAAAAGCGTATTACAGTATGATGTCAATTTTGCTTAAAAAAATGAGTACACAGTAAATACAGAGGAAAAAATATACCAAAATGTTAATTATTGTTACCTATGAGTAAGTTTTTAAAAATATTTTTAAAGTATTTTTTAAGTGTTACAGTGTGCATGAGTTTTATAGTAAGAAAACGTTATGAAATAATTTATTTTGAATTTAAATTACATCCTTTTAAAATTTAAAATAAGTAATGAGGTGAGCTCAGATTTAGAGCTTTATAGAAAATAAGAGCTTATTTTGATGTCCTTTTATAACTATTGTATTGACTTGTTTGGAATCATCCAAAGCTTTTTATTTAAAATCTACCAAATAATTAAATACTTAAATTTGTTAGATTTGCTGTAGTATTGGAATGTAGTTAGGTTAGATAGAGAATATATCTGTTACTCAGGAAAGCTATCTGATGTGTTTCTCCCCCCAAAGTAATGGCCTTTTCTTTATAAGAGCATGTCACAAATATTTCTATTTATTGAATCATTTAAAGAATAACACTTGTAATTTTTTTCCTTTTTAGTTTCCTGCCTGTGATGGTTCACATAATAAACACAATGAATTGACAGGAGATAATGTGGGTCCACTAATACTGAAGAAAAAGGAAATATAATAGTAATGAATTACAATGGAATTCAATTGTGTGCTTTAAAAACTTATAACAGTATTTTTCCATTCTTTGTTTATAGAAGATCTTTCAAATGGTGGTCTTAATTATTGCTACTGGTTGAATAATTATTTCTGCCAATTTATTTTCTTGTTACACTACTGTTTATATTTGATACTTTGTATATGCAAACAGTCATTTATATAAAAATAGTGCAACCCTTTCATTCTGACTTCAAAGAATTAATGTATCTTCCTACAATAAAACCAACATTTTAAACTTTTAATTGAGAAAGCTTTTGACAGTGAGTCCAAAGCTGTTTGTTTGAATGTCAATATTTTCAAAAGAAACTGTACTTTAAAAATTTCTCTCTACATTATTAAATATATTATTTTTTAGTGCTCTTCTGTTTTGATCATTTGAAGTGATTTTTCCCCTTTTGGCCTTCCATATTCCATGCTTTTTAGATCAATAAGAAAACTATTGCTGTCAAGAATTGCTTGAGTTTTCAAAGAGAAACTGTTTACTTTATAAATATTGTTCTCTATAAATATGAATATCCCAATTTCAGAAAAGACAGGAACTGGGTATAAAAAGTTTCAACAAGGAATGATTATTTACATTATAAAAGACTTGTTTGTGTCTGTTTACATGTGTGTATGTCTGACTCAGTGACAGGGTGGGGTGGCAAGAACACTTACAGCTAAACCTCGTGAGCTGCTGCAATTTGAAGGTCAATTAAAAATAAAGTAAATCTGAATTTATCTTAAGATGATAACAGTTCAGTGTTCAAAACTGAGTCTATATGAACGTTTTTCTCTTTATTCCAGTGTATACCAATCAAACATAAAATACAAAAGGCTTGCAAAATAAACTTACTGGAGAATCTTTAAAACTTGTAATTTTTTAGCCCAAGAGTCTATTTAATTTCATATTGCAATTCTTATATTAATAGCTCTCCTTAAGTCTGTCTATTAAAGCTACAGTCCAGTCAGTTCACTGTGCTTTCTTTATATATGAAGAAGGTTTGGGAGGCAGACATATTTAATTCTTCCAATGATCATCAAAGCTAATAGTTGCTGAGCACTTATATGGAACAGACACTGCTCTAAGCATGGTACGTGGATGTTTGGTTTATTATATGTATCAAAGCTTCTATTATGTGATCCTGATTTTCTTAAGAACAACAGCAGGAAGTTTAAAGGTAGGGTTAGAAATGTAGGTGTGGTTTTGAGAAATTTCACAAAGTGTATGTACAAATTGTTGCTCTTTCCTCACCTGCGAGTAGGGAGAAATATAACATTGCTCTCACTTTGGCTCTGGGTATTTTTTCCCTAAGACCTTTTCTTCAACACCCTTAAGGGGCTTCAGTTAATTTTCCACAGTTGATCACAAAACTTGGAAAAAATCCTCCTCACCAGAAGTTTGGATATCCTGGTCTGTGGTCATGAAATGCTTTTCTTAAAAAGCATTTCACTGCAAATCAGAGCAACATGGCTTTGTACATGTTCTAGTGGTTCCCATTCTTAGATTTTACAGAAGGTAAAATTTTCCCCAAATGTGGAGACTAAAGTGACATTATCAATGTTCAAATTATTAAGTAAGAACATTTAAAAAGTTGAAAACTATCTGATAAAAGGTAATTTTAACATCCCCAAAGGTAAGAAGGTTATACTCTCGAATGAAGTTTTTTTATCCCCACATTTGCAATTGTTAAAATTTGTTAAAGAGTTGTACCCACATATTTTCCCACATGTGCAACTTCAGAAGCATGGGGCGGGTAGCAAGCTGTTATTTTAACTACCCCTTTACGTAACCATTATTACTAGTTGCCCTCACTTCCTCTTGTAAATTCACAGAATTCCATCACATGTGCCTTAAAAAAATTGACATCTAATTGAAATCTAACTGCATCTGAATTGATACAACAGAAGATAACGTAGCTCTAGAAATACATATCTTGGGTCTCTAGAACCTTTAAGAAACAGCTGTATTGTTAAAGTGTCACGTTATGATCATTTTGAGGACTGCTACACCTGACCCAGGGAACTTACTCAGTTCCTGAGTAGTTTACTTTACTCAGACGTGAGCACCACCATTACATAAGTAGGTTTTCAAAACTGTTGAGCAGGCTTGAGGTATGAGTGATTCATTCAAATCGGTAATTAAGCAAGTCGTATTATGGTAAGCATGTGACAATTCAGCTTTGAGTTCAGTGCCTCATATGATGATTCACTAAATTACATTTGTATTTTGTAATCTAATTTGTTAATAAGTTTATGGGAAGCTAATTAAGCCAGCTGCTGATCTGTATAGTTCTGTCTTCCTTACTGTGATCCCACAGTCTTCCATTAGAAACGTGCTATTAGACTCTTCCTCTGCAAAGAGAGTTTTAAAATTTTTAACAAGGTTCTTAAATTATGATGGATGTTTTATTTACTACTTACCAGAAACATCTAATTGCAATTTACATGTTTAGAATTCAGTTGTGGAGCATCACCAATCTGGAGAAGACCAGGAGACCTGTTACTAACACTCACGTACTTTACTGAGAAGTGAGGGCGCTCAGGTCCCCATCTTAAGCGTGTACGTGTTCTTATTTCACACCTGATTCTAATAAGTTTCGTTATCTGACTTCTGCTCCTGAACAAATCATAAGTATTGACAGGGTCCTGCTGGAAGCAGGTAAACAAAATGTGACAGCTGACAGCAGGGGAGGGAACCAAAAAATAAATGTAATGTGAACATTAAAAGGATAGCAGCTTGAGACAACTTTATATATAGGGTCCTGCACACCACAGGCCCTGAGAGCATCACTGTTGGCAAATTATACAAGTGACGTTTAATGATGAATTTGAATCGAGTAGGTTATGGTATGTAAGAAGGCAGAATTATATGTTGCATTTGGTGATAACCAATTTCCTCTTCAAATAGTTAAAAGCTGAGTGCTTAAAGTGGTTTATCCAGGTGGAAAGTTTATGCAGAAAATACCTTGAATCGTTGCTTGATTATTTGGAGGCTTTATCATAGGAAGTTTTTCATTCAGTTGAAACATTTTTCAAGTTTAATGACTAACTCACTACCTAGTTTAGTTAAAGTATGAGGAAAACTAAAGGAACAGTGATTTAAACCACGTAAATCAGATGACCTCCTCCACCTTAGGGAGGATTACAAATCATGTGTAAAAATCATTCAGCCCCAGTTCCGTGACTGCCCCACTGCCTTGCTGGCCATGCAGGCCCTTTGCACCAGAGGTGGGATTGTAAAAGACTCTCAGAGCTGTTGTTTTGTTTTAGCTACGCTGCATCACCTGATATCCTTTAGTTTGTCATAGTAATCTTTTACTGGAAGCTCACTTTGTCATGTTCAGAGAGTCATCTGTTATCTTTTGCAGGAATCCAGTTTAGTAAAGTCATGTAGCAAGCATAATTTTTATATAAAATGTAGACTTCATATTAATTATTAGCAATTGCATTGTGCAATTTTCTATTAGTTATGGTGGGGGATTTTTGTTTGTTTTTTTGGCCACATAACATGCAGGATCTTGGTTCAACCAGGGATTGAGCCCATGCCCCCTGCAGTGGAAGAGTGGAGTCCTAACCACTTGCCTGCCAGGGAACTCCATTTATGGTCTTGAAGGACACAGAATCTGTTCAGAAAGGCAAATCTGTGTCATTCGGTCAGAGATGACATCACTTTCTAAGTTTCCTTTGGTTTTAATGCTTGATTCTTCGCTTACAAAAAGTATATCTGGGGCTTCCCTGGTGGCGCAGGGGTTAAGAGTCCGCCTGCCGATGCAGGGGACATGGGTTCGTGCCCCGGTCTGGGAAGATCCCACATGCGGCGGAGCGGCTGGGCCCGTGAACCATGGCCGCTAAGCCTGCGTGTCCGGAGCCTGTGCTCCGCAACGGGAGAGGCCACAACAGTGAGAGGCCCGCGTACCGCAAAAAAAACAATAGTATATCTGTGACTCCATTCTCTTAGAACACTGTTCTAAAATAGATCAGCCACAATATTTACAAATTACTGATGTCTATTATAAGGCTGTAATTTTCCAAAGTAATATAGAAAAGGGAAAAAGTAAATGGCATAATTACAGACATGAACCCTGTAATAGAAAATAAAAATGTCAGCAAACAATTCACTAAATTTTCAAATTTCCTGTAATTTTCCATTAGTATCCATCATAAATTCCTCTACATTATCATACTAAAGATATGAATCAATAACACCCATTCAATAAATTTAAGATAGAAGTACAGAGTCTTCAACTGTGTTGAATGCTGCCAAGAAGCAGCATTCATGAAAATGAAAGAAATAAGATGAACTAGAAAGATGTTCACTTTAAAATTCTGCATGCAACCGTGTAGCAGCACGGATTGCTGCTACAAAAAAAAAGAATCCGCCTGCCAGTGCAGGGGACACGGGTTTGATCCCAGGTCCGGGGAAGATCACCCATGCCACAGAGTAACTAAGCCCGTGTGCCACAACTACTGAGCCTGCGCTCTAGAGACCGAGAGCCACAGCTACTGAAGTCCACGCACCTAGAGAGCCACAACTACTGAAGCCCATGTGCCTAGAGCCTGTGCTCCACAACAAGAGAAGCCACTGCAATGAGAAGCCCCAGCACCACAACGAAGAGTAACCCCCGCTCGCCGCAACTAGAGAAAGCCCGCGCGCAGCAACGAAGACCCAACGCAGCCAAAAAAACAAAAAACAACACAAAACCCCAAAAAACCTGATAAAGAAACACAAGACAAAAAAAAGAAAAAAAGAAAAAACCATAGACCAATCTCATCTATACATACAAATGAAAAAAATTTTTTAAAGGTTAATAACTATGGCAAAAAGGATTGTATTCCAGGAATTCAAGAGTGTTTTGATTTCAGTAAATCTATTAACACAATTACCCAAATTAAAGAAGAGAAAACATGATCATATCAATAGATGCTAAAAGGCTTATTACTAAGATTCGGCAGCTATTCCTAATGAAGATTCTTGAGTAAAACAAATCGAAGGAAACTACTTAAACACAATGAAGGTTATTTATGAAAAGCCTATAGGTATTTAAAAATCATAAGCTGTTTCAATTAAACTCAGGAACTAACAGGAATTTGATATGACTATATGCCTAGGAAACCACGGAGATTAGGAAAAACAGAATTAAAAAGGGATTTTTAGTAAGGTATTTGGAAACGATGAATATACAAAATTTAATGGGAATAAACACTGAAATGCTAATGGAAGAAATATTTCATTCACAATAGCAAAAAAAAAGTGGAATAAATTTACACAGAAAGGTATAAGATCTATGAGAAAAAAAACCCTACAAAAATGTTGCTAAAAACAATTGAACAAAATTTAAACATATGAAAAAATACTACTGTAAATATAAATCTCTTAAAATTAATAAATTCAATAAAACTCACAGAATCACAAGAGTATTTTAAAATTGGATTAAACTATATTAAGATTCATTTAGAGTCAGAAAATTCTACAAAAACAAACAAACAAACAAAAAGAAAGGAACTTTACTCACCAGATATCAGCATATACTATAGTCATTGGAATCAAGTCAGTTAATAAGATAAGAAAAACAACTGCATTAAATAAGAATAAACAAGACTGATAGAAAAGAA